TAGTGGATGGGGCACATATTAGGTTTCAGTTACATCAGAAGCAGTTTTAGCCATTAAAATTGAGTGGATTTGTTGTGATTAGGGATATTTGCTCTCTATATTTTTCTGAATTAAAAATATTTTATATTAAACATGTATACTAATGTGAAAAATTTTGCATTAGAGAGCAATTGAATGAAAGTACATGAACTGGTTAAATTTAAACATATTACTTTGGTTATGTTTACATCTTTTAGGTTATTTTTTTTGTTTATTCTAATGCTTTGTAGTACATTTGTGGCACCCATAAGACATAATTTAATATGATATGCTAAACCTTTTATTATGAGGATGATTATGATGATGATGATGTATTCATTGCTATACATTTTCTTCCCTCCTCCATCCTCTCCCTCTCTCAGTCCACTTTAACATGCATCTCTTGTTCCTGGTGATATTAATTTTGAGGTTTTCATAATTGTAGCAGCATAATTAAACTCTTATTTCTGTCTCTGTCTCCTTTCTACTTTTGGTCTTTCTTCTTACTTCCTCTTTTTCCTCCCCCTTTTCTTCTTCTTAAGGCTTTTTTGCAGTGCAGGTCTTTACCATTTGGCCACCAGGATTCCTTTCTTTATTTCCTAGTATTTGTGTGCTTGAGTACACATACACATATACATCACACCCCCCCTGCCTTTATGCAGGCATTTGTTTCTCTCTCTCTTTCTTGGTTGTCTGTTTTTATTTCTTTTGATTTGTGCTCTGTATCTTGGTCTTTTCAGGTATTTTATTTCCTGTCTTTATTTAACTACTTAACCATATTTTTTATTTTTACTTCATTTAGGTAAAGCTACTTGCTCTTCTAATCCAAGCAGCCCAGCTCCAGACTGGTACAAAGATTTTGTTACAGACGCTGATGCCGAGGTTTTAGAGCATTCTGGAAAAATGGTACTTCTCTTTGAAATTCTTCGAATGGCAGAGGAAATTGGGGATAAAGTGTAAGCGTCTTCTTTTTTTTTCTTTATAGAGTTTTCTCATGTTTTTATAATTATTGTATTCATTTTTAAAGATACAATTTGGTTGATATAGAATAGTCTATAACAAAACAATTGTCTTCTAAGCTACTATACAGCCTATTTCTTTTTTCCTTTCCCCCTTTCTGTCTTTGAACTTGTTCCCTTGACCCTAGGGTTCTAATTAATATTTATATTTGCCTGTTTTCCTGATAATTTTTCAATTCAATGTGCTTTTCCTTGTCACTTTAGTGAAAGCTTTTCTTAGTGCTTCACCTTAAGGTCATTAGTGCCCTCTGAGTCTGAAATCTGGTGTACACCTTTGGGTTTTTTCTGATTAATTGTCACTTCATCAAACACATATCTTTTCTGTTTTTCCTGTTTGTTTTGCTTGTAGTGTTTGTGCCCCATTTCCTTTTCTTACAGTCCTACCTCCAGTCTCCTTGTTTTATTTACTTTCCCCATTTATTGCCTAGCTCTCCTAAAATTAGACAAACTTTTGTTTATATCCTTAAATCACCTCTTAATATACCTCTGCTCTTATTGTTAGCTCTTGTGAAGTCAGTCATTGGCTCATTGTGGAACAGAACACTGGCCATCCCCGTGATTACTGATGCATTTACCTGCTGTGATCCATAAATAGGATTTTGTTGATTTTCATAAATAGCTCAGTCACCCTTTGTTGCTATTTACTCTCTGTGCTATAAATACCAACTTCATGATACCGTCATGACATCACTGAATGTAGAATTGAGAAAAAATTCTAACAGTCAATGCTCCTGAGTTAAGCTATATAGAGTAAATTTCAGCCAGCACTGGATTCAGCGAAGCCTTCCTGAGTTACTAATTTCTATCATTTAAATATTAAAGTTTTTTTGTATTTTCCTTCTCAAATGTTTATTGTTTTTATCTGCATCTTTAATACATAAACTAAAATAATACTATGCAAGTATAGAAATAATTGATCAAGAGAGTAGTTGTCTATCTTCAGCTGGAAAGGGTTATCAAAGACAATTAATACAGAGCCTGGGCATTTAAATAATCAATTTCACATTAAGATTTATTTGCAATGAGTATTTTCTGGAACTTAATTGCTGACTCAGGCCAACTTTTATCCTGAAGAATCTCTCTTCCAAAAACTCTTCCTGAAACTCTCAGTTTCTTCGAGAAACTCTGTTTCCAAATTAGTTCCAATTACATAATTTAAAATATTAAGTATTTGAATTTTTAGGAACCATAACTGTTAAAATACTAAATTTGTTTTCTGTATTAGTTTAGTACAGTTTTTGATTATGTGAAAGAAAGGCTAATCAAAGTACTTAGGAATCAAGACATAGACCTTGATCATATAACTTGAACATCAGAAGTCAATTCTTTTTCATTCTATTATTCTAGTAATGGTCATCTGAAAGATAATCATTCTTATGAAATTATACCATCAAAAATGTATATGCGATAAACTGTAGCAGTTATTTTAGAGTTTGAAGGAAGGATCTTTTCTCAGCAGTAGTACACCTTTTAGGACTAAGATAGCACAGTGTATATGATTTCTTTTGCTTTTAAAATGGAGAGAAAATGAACTCTCTCATATTGTTCTTGAAAAGAATTTTATATTGACTTATTCATATGGCACAATCCACATTGAATTTTACTGATAAGTCAAGGACTGGTCATCTCTGCCTGTTAGCATACACCATTAGGAGAAAAATGGGCACTCTCCTCCCTTGGCAGTTCACAGCTTTAGAAAATTAATGGATTTTCTGTGTGAGTTACATGTGACTTGTTGGCAGTGAGTTTTGATTGTAGCAATTATTTGTACTTTAGAGACAAGGATGGTGAGACTTCTCTCACATATTTTACGTATATTATTAGGAAGGGCCAGTCCTTCAAAAAGGATGTAATGCTTAGAAAAGTTGAGTGTTTGCAGAGGAGAGGACAAATGACTCTCAAAGAAATGGTTTGACACAGTGACTGCAAAAAGGCTTCATCATAGATTTTGTAGATGGCACAGGATTAGGCAGAGGTTGATTGTGCTGTCCATTGAGTCATTATGAGTTGGAGTTTAAGATGCCAACTGACATTAATAGCATCTTTTTATCTGTGAGATAAAGCAGAGCAAGAGGATTGTCAGAACACCTGCAGTTTGTTTATATAAGGTGTAGAAGTAGTGGCAACACCTTTGACACTTTCTTGCTTCACTTCCAAGTGCCTGAGGCAGTGTGCTTTTGTGTGAACAAATAGTTTTCATAGAGCAAAAGAAGAGAGTGACAGAAAATCAGGAATTTTCAGACAGGCTTGAAATAAAAATTAGACATAGAATATATCTAATTTAATAATACTGAAATTAAAATTTAAATTTTTAATCTCTAAAGAATGTCTTTGGCAGTACACAAAGTTTTAATTTTGCTAAAGTCTACTATATCAAGGTGTTTGGGTTTTTTTTAAATTTCATTAGTTGTCTGAACATTAACATTTTTCTAAACATTTTGTGCTTTTACATTTGAACCTATTATCCATTTTGAGGTAATTTTGCATAAAATGTGATGTTCACCTTCAAGGGCATTTTTTTTTGTTCACATATGGATGTCCAAATTTGCTAAGACTATAAAATGACTGCCTTTTTTCCATTAAATTGTCTTTAACCTTTTGTAAGTATTAATTATTTAAGCTATTTGAATTTTCATTGGACTCCTTTTTCTTTCAGTGATCTTTGTGTCTATCTCTTTGCCGCTAACACTTTTAGATTATATTAGCTTTATGTTTTATTTTGAGAACCTATTTAATGATTGAATGAGGGAACAAGTTTCTTCCCACACTATCCTTAGGCCTTTGGAGAGGTGTCTGGACTGTTCTCCCAAGATGGCTGTGCTTCGGCTCCATTAATTTGTTACTGTTATTTTAAGTCAAAGGTTCTATTGTAGCTTTATATATTTATGAAATGATACAGTGTTAGTATTAAACTTCTTTTTTTTCCAAATAAATGTGGGTTTTCTGCTGTGATTTTCTTAGTATTGTGTTAAATTTGTAGATCTGTTTTCAAGGGAAATACTGATATTTCTACTATGTGAATATTTTATTCCATGAACACTAATCTTTGTTTTTAGCCTTGTTTTCAGCCAATCTCTCATATCTCTGGACTTGATTGAAGATTTTCTTGAGTTAGCTAGTCGAGAAAAAACAGAAGATAAAGATAAATCTTTTATATATAAAGGTGAGTTAAAAACATTTCTATATTATAAATTATAAAAAGCCACTTAAATTTGTCAATAAGTTGACTTTATTGTTGTTAGTTGGGTAAGATGATAATCTTGTTTTGATTTACATCAATAGTTAATGAGGGAACTTTGGTGGTGTAGTAATAAAGTAGCTGTACTTCCAACTCAAAGGTATATGGTTTGAATCCACCTGCTGCTCTGCAAGAGAAAGGTGGACAGTCAGCTTCCATGGGATTTACTGTCTTTGAAAATTCACTGAAGGGTCAGGTGTGGGTTGGCTCTGACTCAGTGATACATATGAACAGCATTAGTTAATTAAAAATCTATACCCAGACTGTTTTATAAATAGAATAAAGGAACACTGCATGATTTAAAAATCAGGAAAGGTATGTATCAGGGTTATTATATACTTTCTGCATACATATTTAACCACTATAGTGAGAAAATTAGTCAACAATCTGGATTCTGAAGAAAAATATGGCATTAGGACTGTAGAAAGAGTCATCGGTAACCTCTGTTATGCAGCTGACACAATTTTGCTTACTGAAAGAGAGGAGGACTTGAGCCACTTGCTGCAAAGGTTAAGCATTATATCTTTCAATATGGATTGCACCTTAACGTCAGGAGAACAAAATCCTTTGCCACTGGACAGATAGATGGATAGAATGTCATGATGGATGGAGAAAAGATTGAGACTGCCAGTGACTTCATCTTACTTGGCTCCACAATCAGTATACTTGATACCAGCAATCTTGAGATCAGGGCATGTATTGCACAGGAAAAGTCTGGGACGTCCCCATATTATTGAAGAGTAATGACGTCATTTTGGGGACATTTAAGGTGCATCTGATTGATGCCATGGTTCTTTCAGTAACTTGCTATGTATCAGAGCTGGACAGTAACTATAGATGACAGAAGAAGAATTGATATCTTTGAACTGAGGTGTGGGAAAAGAGTTTTGAAGATCCTATGGCAAAGATTCTGGGGCTTCGTCTGACATACTTTGGACATGTTGAAAGGAAAGATAGGTCTTTGGAGAGGGACATCATGCTGGGTAGAGTAGAGGGACAGTGCAGGAGGGGAAGACCCTCTATGAGGTGGATTGATTCGGTGACTGGGGTAATCAGGATGGGTGTGTCAGAGGCAGTGCGATTGGCACAGGATAGAGCAGGGTTTAGGGCTGTTGTACATAGGGTCGCTATGAGTCGCAAACGACTCCACGGCACATAACAACAACAACAACATGGACTACCAAAAGAATAGATAAGTCTTGGAGATAGTGCAGCCAGAGTACTCCTTGGAGACAAAGATGGTGAAATGCCATTATTTTGTTTGCATGATTTCTTCTACGAAATGAGAACTTAATCTAATTTTTTCTACTTTGTAGGAGACCCTTTGTTTTTCTTCTTGCTGCTTTTAGTATTCTTACCTTTTTACCTTTGATTTGGAGAATTTGACTATGGTGTATCTTGATGTTTTTCTTTTGCAGTTTAATCTTTTTGGAGTTCACTGAGCTTATTGAATGTGAATTTCCTAATTTTCCCCCTTTTCCTTCATCCAGTTTCACCGTACTTCATTCTGTAATCCAATCAGCATGTTTGTTGTTCTTTGATGTTATTCCATATGATTCTAATGTTTTTATATCCCTCCTGTACTCTCTGTTTTTCCCTGTAGTAACTTCCAGTTAGGATTATTATCTTTTCCTTATTATCTTCTACCTATTCTCCTTTTTTGTCCCTCCAGCATGTTGAAAAATTCTTACCATTTCAGTCTTGATCCTAGATTGCATTTTTATTCATTTCTGTTACTTCCATTACTATGTTGGTTGTACCCTCTGTCTTGTGACGATTTTTTAAAATTCTTGTACCTCTTTTTTATGTCTTCCATTCTTTGTTCCATCATTTGAATCTTCTTCACCTGCTGTTCCTATAACTCCATGTTGGTAGATTTCTTCTGCCTCCCTGTTTCTGAGTTATTCATGGGGTGTGTATTCTGATCTGCTTCTGTCATTAAATGTTTGTTTTGTTTTTCTTCATGATATTTAAAGCTGCTTGTTGTTTTCTAGTCATTAGTTCAGTTTTTTTTCTTGGTATATGTGAGACAATTTCTGTTGTGACTGGGGAGGTATTGACAATTATTTATCTTTATGATGCTATTGATAAGTTGCAAACTTAGAAGTATTGCCTCCCATTGAGTTTTCCTTGCTGATCTCTGTTTCCTGTGACAAGCTTCTTACTTGGTTGTCCTTTGATGGGAAAGGAGTCTTTATCCAGTGATAGTGGACTTACTACTTGTCCTGTACTTGATGACTCACGGGGAAGAGGGCTTCTCCCAGAAGTAGGCAAAGTCCCAGGTTTGCAGGTTGGAATATATTGCTTCTGGAAAAGGCCAACAAAAGTTAAAAGATCCTTAAAAAAGAAAAAAAAAGGTACAGACCCTAAGTCTCAGTAGTTGCTAATGGCCATGTAACTTTCCCCTCTACCCTAAGCAGGCAAAGGCTTAGGGAAATGGCAACTTCTCAACAGTGCAGCTCCCAGTTGTGGCTACTTGCTATTGAGAGGAGGTGGGAACTTCCAGGGTCTTGCCCAATATCTTCTACCTCAGACTGGGTGGTTGCTTATTGGAATCCGGTCTTATTGGTCTCTGCTAGCTCTATAGCACCACGTGGGTGATAGTGACTATCTGTGTCTTCTCTTGTGGCTTGGTGGGAGGGCAGCTTCTGCCTTAGCAAACACATTTTTTTGCGGACAGTGGGCAGGGAACAGGTGAGGATGTCAGGGAGTGTGGATTTTGGGAAATAGATCCCAGAACTCTTCTTTCATGAGTCTCCTGATTTATCATTATGTATTTGCCTCCTCCTACAACTGGGTGGGTGTGACAACTTCTGCTTTAGCTCACAGAGGTCTTGCATAGAGCTGTAAAATAACAGTGTCCTGAACCCTTATACAGTAGAAAAGTTTCCTGAGCCTCTTAGTTGGTCTGGTATACCTGTCTTCTGGGGCTGGGTTGGAGAAGCCATTTCTGCCTTAACCAACAGATTTTTTTTTCTTCAGACAGTTGTCTGGGAACAACACCAAGAACACTTCCCCTTAAGTATCCTGTTGGTCCTGCATTCATTCTTGTCTTCTCATGTGACTGAGTGGAAGGATCCACTTCTGCCTTTATGTACAGAGTTTTTTCAGATAGTTGACTGGGAAAACCACCACCACCACCCCCACCACCCCAGCCGTCTCCCTCCTTGGTGTGTGTGTGTGTGT